GTTTGTTTTACAATAGTTCTAGAGTTCTATATCATATATAACAATAGTTCTACTAATTAAAAGCGAAAAGTCGATTTGCGAAGACAAGAATTACTTGTGTGAACTCTAGAACTCTAGAATATATAAACTATAGAACTCTAGAACTATTGTAAAACAAACCGGAACTCTAAAGAAATAGTCGATTTTACTACTTAGATGTGCTGCGTGAACTTAGCGTACCTTTTTTTAAAAGTCTATTTTTTTGTATTTAATGACCGGAACTATTTAAAATTGTTGCATAGAGCTCTAGAACTTTTCAAGAGAGTATCAGAACTCTAAAAAAATGTCACATTTTTAAATATGGTGTGCCAAGTTCACACAAGTGCAAAGTAAGTAACGCGGCTTCAAACACAGTACTGAGGTACAGACAGCGGCGGCGACCGTTCTTGCATCGCGCACACGTGCGAATCGCGATAGCATACGACGCGAGTTTTGGACGAAGTTAATCCCTTCTTTACGATATGGCTCTACTATTAGAATTAAACAAACAACTAAACTCCACAGTTGGGAGCAATTAAAGTACTTGTGACATACACGGTGTCGAAATCTAGATGTCCGAGTGCCCGTGTGCAAATGAAACTCGTTAAACTCACGGAGAACAATCCTGTACGATTTTGTAAATCGCCACAATAATTGTTGAGATATTAAAGCTCCTGAGTATTCACTGCGGAATTTCAAACTTATGACGTCTGATACGTGTTGTGTTAGACACATTCTGTATGTATTTCCAATGGAAAAATATGTAATAAAGAGGTTATGAAGAAACACATACACAGAAAATTTGTAATTTTACAAAGTATCTGGATTTAAGTACTTGTGCGCAGGTTTGTTAAAACCTGGCAAAACTTATTAAATCGCGTGTAGAAAAATGCTATAACCTTTTAGTACAGGAAAAAGTTAAATTATTATGACAAATATGAAAATTAATGAAAAAAATTGGCCAAATCAATGATATTAATACATTTTCCGACCAATCAAAACCAAAATTTGCAGCATGGCGCAATCTATCTAGGCTCTACGGAAACTATCTAGATTCAAAAAGAATTAATTTAAATTCTGTTTTCCTTATCGAATAACAAATAAACACACGCTCTTCTTCACGAATTTGTGAGAGAATCTTAGCGAAACGAAAAAAAAAGAAACAATAAAAACAGAGGAGCGGTCACGTAGAATATCATATACAATCATGTAGTGCAAGTGAACAGGAACCAGACAAAATACTCACTGGTGAGAAATAATGTTTCTACTACTGTGATAGAAAACATTCGTCTGAACTTCAGTTGCATTAAGGGATGTTGAAGTGGATGACGCACTCCAGAAATGTCGATAATGTAGACGCGATTGTCACTAATACGATCGTACTATCCTTCTCGTACATATAGATTTTGCATAAATAGGTGCTGCTTTCTTTTGCCATGTGCTCGCAGAAAACACGATCACGCACATATAATAATTTTTCTGCAAACTTTCCGCGCGTATATTTTTGAGCCCTTAAACTCAGTTGTGAAGATGTTTCATGAAATTTTCATTTATCAGCAAAGCTAGTATACGTGCGGCACGTACAAGCTGCAGAGTTTTCGTGTCAAGTATAAATATTTATGTATATATTAAGCGACAGTTCGAGTTATCAATTTTAAAATTCCTCGTCGTTTTCGTTCACATATTGAGCAATCAATTCATTATTGCACGTACTTTCACTGTGCAAAAACAATAGTAATTCTGTGCAACCAATACGACATCAGTTTGCAGAAAAAATCAGTATTTCGTCGGTAAAGTTTCCAAGTTTTCAAGTTTACAGAAAAAACCAGTATTTTGTCCGAAAACTTTTCAAATATAGTTCCTTCCTCCTTAAACTTTGTTTAAGGAGGAACACATCTACAATGTGTTCTTCACTTCTTGTTTCTTATTCTGTATCTTTCTCGAACTAAAGGCTCAAGATTTAAATCAGAAAGAGATGAAGAGAAAGAAACAGGAAATAAAGAGTACATTAGATCAAGCTTAAGGGGATGCTGGAGTCGATAACGAATTCAGGAAATGTCGATAACGCATAGACACTAACACAATCACGCTATCCTTTTCGTATTTCTTGTATATACAGAACTTACATAAATATGTGTTGCCACGTTGACAGAAAAAATATCTAAGAATTAAAAAATATCTATTCGATGGGGTACTAATAACATATTTATACTAATATAAAATATTTTATATTACTAATATAAAATATTTTATATTACTAATATAAAATATTTTTCAAATAAGAAAATATTTTCTTAAAATTTTAGCTTTTTATGAGAGCAACTTTTTATTCTATTTAAATAAAAGAATTTGGATTTTTAAATAGATACGATATGTATTAGTACCTACCGAATAAATATTTTGTTTTTTAGGTATTTTTTCTCTCACAGTGCAGACACTCGCGTTCTATGATTGTTAATTTATTTGATTCTTATTTGATAAGACTGATTCAATAATAAGATTGATTCATTGTATGTATTTAATATGAATCAGCCGTTCGATTTGTTTCCTGTTGAATTTCACTTGCTTTACATACACTTGCAAATTGCAAAAAGTACTCGAATTGAAATTTAAGTTAAGCCTGCGAATACCGTCAAACTGTTGTAGGCCACCCGAGTCGAAATTTTGACTCTATATTGACTCTGCAAATTCTGTCGAATTTGAAGCGTCAATGAAGAATCTCGAGATATATAAACTATTGACCTACCTTGATGCTGCGAATAATCGATTGTTGCCGTTTTCTTTATGTTGAAACTCGAAGACTCGTTCAGGAATTATGTAATTATATATGTATTTTAAATTCGTTTTTATTTTTAATTATTCCAATTATTTTTTTCGTTATTTAATACTCGTTTATCTCAGTGTATTTTTATAAAATTTTATCCATTGACTGCCGACCGGATGTTTTTGAACAAAATGACAAGGTCTACACACAGTGAAAAGCGCATACTGCGTTTAAATAAATATTATTTATTTCAAGTACTTTAATAAGTTTACGTAAATCTACCACAGTTTTATTATAAGCATCTAATTTATTCAAAATACGTTCTGAATCCTAAGTTTAGTATTTCAATCGGGAATATGAAATTAAAACAAGAATTTTGTTTGCTTATCGTATCGCATCAACTTTTGCTTTGTTAAAATTTTATAATATTTTTGTAAAGAGAATATATTTTTCTTTTGAATATATAATAATGAGTTTTTTTCAAATTGCAATGAGTATATTTTAGGATTATTATAAAAAAATATTCTTTGTTGTGAAGATAAAAATTATTTAAAAGAAAGAAAGAAAAAATAAACTAAGCAACATTTTTCTCAGCTGCAGAAATTTTTCTCTGTGTAGAGACGCATAACGCGATCAAAGCCGTCTTTTCGCTTCCGCGGCAAAAATGTTTGAAAAATTAAACCCGGACGCATCGAATGCACCAAAACGACACTCGCTCATCGCCATTTGTTCGGCCGGAAAATCTCAAAAAATGCACAACGTTTGTGCAGATCCCAAAAAAGATGAGAATATTCGATCGTCGAGTCGTTTGAATCAACTAATTATTTAGCAAAGCCCGTTCTCTTATGTACATTATTAAGCGATTTTTCAATCAGGAACGAGATCAAAATATGAAATACCAGCAGCGTTCTCATCACTTACCTTAGCACCTACTTTGAGAGAATTTTGGGGCCGCTATTCAACTCCCTCGATGCATTTCCCTTCGCGGGAAATAATTGCGCGCTCGGGTGCATTCGATGCAAAAAAGCTATTTGTCAATTGTCAAACTTGATAGCTGATAGTGTCTGACCGGAAAATCTCTAAAAAAATACATCGTTTGTACGGAATCCGATCAATAATTGCTTGATACCTCATCATTACGGATATACTATAATCAACAATGAACGAAACGTAGCATTATCATATATACGTTAATATATTAATTGGCAAATATATACCCGCGATTGGTAACTGGCTATATTCGAACGAAATTTATACAGATAAGCGTATATTCAATTATCAAGGATTGGTATGTGGGTGAATGTGGATAAAAGAACAAGACTTAATCTCATCTCTTCCTAATTTTTCTTCTTTCTTTTTTTATTTTTTTTTTTTAACCCCTTAAGTAGTATGACTAGAAAATTTTCATGAAAAAATATTAAATTCCTCTTATAATTTACTTCAAAATTATTGTATATTTTTAATTCATAGAAAGCACAAATTAGATATACTTTGTATTCTATCTTTCAAAATTCCTCAAAGAAAATAACAGTAAAGAGAAAAGAAATCAAGATATATTTATATGAAAAAGAAAAATGGCCTGGAGGAAATCGCTTAGCCATTTTAAATCACTACTGAAGAGGTTAATGGAAATTTTGATGAGATTTGATCAGATCTCTTAAAAGAGCTTTTAAAAGAGCTGATATCAAGCTGAAAACAGAAAAGATAACAGTTATGTGTCCAATAATGCTGTTAACTAATAAAGATTTAAATTTAGATTCCGCAAAATGTTAAATAGACATTGAGAAAAAGCAAATGTAAACAAAATCGCAATCATGAACCAAGGAGCATTATTAGACGGAAAAAATCAACACTTGTAAAATTTGTATTATATTCTAAGGCCGACATTCATAAAGTTGTAAGTTATTTAAGATCTTTGACTGAGAACATAATTAATTAGAAATTTGTATTCATTTGGACTCGAATGTTTGAACCAATATTTCTGGTATGAAATAATATAAAAAGTACGGATATAAGTTGACGATTAATCGAAAATCAATGAAGTTATAATTATATGTTAATGATAACAAGCTATGAATGCCAGCCTAAATTTCGACTCGGGTATTTTCTTACTTTCGGTAGATACGTCAAACGGAACGGAAACGTCGTAATAAATGATTTGGCACACCTGGGAAATATATGATGCGTCGCTATCCTCGCCGTCCTTGCGTCCTGCGTTCTCCGTTCCGGCTTGTCGACCAAATATCCTGGCTGTTCCGTCATAGCACTGACACTGGACACTGACACTCGCGTAGACACGATTCAATCGAAGATACACGTGTTAAATAACGCGACGTCAACGAGAGAATAATTATGCGTTTCGAAAGAAATAGTTTAATCACTCGACACCGATACGCACAGTTCGTGATGTGTCGCTCGCCGGTTGGCAACTGAATAGAAAAAGTCGGAAGAGTCCGCGAGACACGTGACCGCCTCGAAGGTCCTGGATGTTTTGCTTGTATAGAGGAACAATAGATAACGTATCGAGACAACGTGCGCCTCGCTCGTCGGCCCGGGACTGAATGACGGAAGAGTCCGTTAGAGGTACACAACTTAACCGTCGCGTGGAAGTCGTGAATGTTTTGATTATGAGATCATCCGGTGCTCATTGTGATAAACGACGATTGTTGACGACGGGAGAGGGATTGTGTTTACCTTTCTTGCAGTTGTTGTTTTAGTACTCTTGCGCGTCGCACCGAATGTATTACTGCCTGAAATAAAGAACAAAAATTAAATACGAATAGAATAGAATACTGAGATACAAAAATTAAATAAGAATAAAATAGAATACTGAGATAATCGGATATTAACTAATTTACGAAATAAGTCTTTTTTGAAATAAATCTTTTTTGAGGGACGGTTCAATATGACATTAATCACTTGTGGTAAACAGGATAAAACAATCGCATGTATAATATTGTATCTCGAGATTCTCTATTGGTTCTTCAACAGCATTTGCAGAATTAACATGGAGTTAAAATTTCGATTTGAGTAATTATCACGATGCATCACTTTTATACATAATCGATATTGAACTTAGTATTTTAGAATTCCACGGTATCGTTCAATACTTTACTTGCTTTTCGTGTTTGGACCACGTCTTTCTTGTGTTTGATTCCAACGTTTCGTGAACATTTCAGTTCACTTCTTCAGGGAATGAGGTGACCTGCTGAAGAAATGAACTGAAATGTTCACAAAACGTTGGGATCAAATTTAAGCTTCTGAATTCAGATGCAAAAGTATAGCAAAAGAATAAATAGCAAAATAATATAGTAAAGTTCCTCAAAAATTTTTGAGCAGAGTAAAGCTCGCATTCAGTGTACACAAGCTACAGATCTTTGTTATTTGACTTTAATTGACAGGATAAGCGGATTTACACTCGAAATGTCAATTCTAAAATTTTTTATCGTACATTCAACAACGCTCCAATTCGTAAGCTTCAAGAACATTCGTAATTCTGTATAGTCAGTACAACATAATCTTTGCAGAAGAAATCAGTGTTCTGTCGGCAAAGATTTCAACTCCAGCATCCCCTTAAAACTCGATTGAGAGCAATTAGTTACGTACACGGAGAGGATATTACAGTGAAAATTGCTATAAGATTTTGTAATCGAGGAATAGATCGACATTCTGCAGTAATTCACTGTCCTGTAGTCTTATATGTGCTCTTTATATTTTGCGAATTGAAATATGCTATCAAAACACTTGCTATGTTTCCAACGAAATTTATTATGCAAGATAGACGTTAATGAAAATTTTTTTCTGAATTATTAAAAAACATGTAGTTGAAAAGTTTGGAAAAATTCGCATAAAAGCAGACTATAATATTCTCTCCGTGTAGAAACCTCCCGTCGGAATCTTTCTGTGCTTGAGCTTTCCGTCTGGTCTCCAAGTAACAGAAAATTCCGTTGTTCTCTCCGTACGCGAAGTGACAGTGACGAATTTTGTTTCGGCAGGTGAGCGCGCCGGTGCAGACGCAGAAGAGCAACCTGAAAGCGACCCTGTCGGTGAACGGGGACGGCCAGTCGGGCGGACAGAGCGTGCCGGCGCGATGCCGGGCGCCGAGCGTCGGCATCGACGTCGACATGGTGTCCGAGTTCGATCCTTCGTCGTCGGACAGCGGCGTGGTGTCGCGGTGCGGGGTGGTGAAGCCGCTTAAGCTGGGCCTCTGCCAGCCGATCTTCGGCCGCAAGCACATAGGTAAGTTGCGGAGGGAGCACGGCGACGCGGCGCGACACCACGGCAAGGACGAGTCCGGCGGCGACGCGAAGGCGGCGAAGCCGCGCGATCCCGAAAGGGAGAAGAGACGGTTGGCGAGGAAGAAGGAGAAGCGCGCCACGCTCATCCTGGGCTTCATCATGGGCAGTTTCATCGCCTGCTGGCTGCCCTTCTTCGTCCTCTACATCGTCAAGCCGATGTTCCCCGACTTCGAGATACCGCCGCAGGCCTTCGTGATCGCCTTCTGGCTCGGCTACACCAACTCGGCGCTGAACCCGTTCATCTACACGGTCTTCAACAAGGACTTCCGCCGCGCGTTCCGCCGGATACTGTACAAATGAGCGTTGCAGCCTGGCGTCGACCAAGAGGAGGGACGCTAACGGCAATATGTAACACACGCGCGGCGGACGAACCAGCATACGTGCGCGCCATTCGCGCACACGTGCACACCTCGTTTCCGTCCTCGGGTATGCCGACACATCGCGTAGCACCCTCGAGGACGCGCTCCCTCGATCGCGCAGCCACCCGGCCGATCCTCGTTTCCTCGAGTCGCGCACGTCGATCACAAGCTCCAGCGTGAGGGGAGGACGGCGAGAATCGAGAAGAGGATTCGATTGGCGGGCGAGCGTCGCGAGAATACGCGGGATTCCTTTCCCGCGGAGGGAAGTCGGCGTTTCCGGCCGCGCCACACGAGACTCCCGAATTTTTCGGGACCCACACACGCGAACACCACACACGGAACGACTCGGACGAGATCGCCGAGTTACGCCCGTGTAATTCCCCGCGGGACCTTCGTCAACCTCCGAGAAAACGGACTCTTTTCATGAGCGTCAAGTCGACGTCCGATCTCAACCCGGAGACGTGCAGGAGACGCGTTTCCAGTCCAGATGTATTCGGCGACGCGACTGGCAAGCGACATGAACCGCGCAGAACTGGGTCGGCCGAGCAGCCAGCTCTGGGAGAAGATCCCTTTTCCACGACACGTCGGGAGAGGCGAGCAAGCCACTGTAAGAGAACCCTCGAACCTTTCCCCTGTCGGGACGGCACACGTTTGACGGAGGGTCGCGTCTCCACCGTGGGACCTGTCGAATTGTAAGCGGACGATCCGGAGTCGCTAGCTCTTCACAACCGCATTTATACGCGACCACGTGCTCGCGGGAATGAAGCGAGAGGACGGGAAGAAGTGTATAAAAGTGGCCACGCGTGCTCTGGCCGACCAACGGGAACATAAGCGCCGCCTGAGCGCGGTGCACTCTCGTACGGGTTTCTCCTGCGAGTATCCTGCGGAGCGAGGATCGCTTCTCGTAGACCAAGAGGCAGCATATCGCTCCCTCCTCCATCCGCAATTTTTCGTTCACCAGCATCAGCACCTCCTCCTCCTCCTCCTCCATCACTTCCTCCGGACGAGAAAGGACAAGGAACAGCGGGGAGAGACAGGGAGAGACGTCCCGGCTACTCCGGATGGAGGACACCCATTTCCGTGCCTAATCTCTTGGTCGCGTTTAGGAAAAGGCATGACAATCCATAGTTGCATAAGCAACGCGAGAACTCCCTGCCTGGAGGGCACGGGCCCGCCGCGGAATCGTCGAGCGGCAAGGCGAAGAGAGAGAGAGAGAGAGAGATCGCGGACACGATCGTAAGTCTCATCGGGATGCGATTTTGAGGTCGTTCGATCAGCGTGCACTACACACGCTGTGCGGATGGTGTGTGCGCGCGCGTGTGTCGTACGCGTGACGACGATAGCGACGACTGCTGCGGCGACGGTGGTGGCGACGGCGGAGGAAGCAGACGGAAGGAAAGGAGAGAAGGGGCCGGTCCTTGCGATCGATCGGCCACGCGCGAACACCGACTAGCGTTTAGGATCGTCCCGACGGAATTACTGACAAATAAATGAGGGGATGCGAGAGAAGATATATGTAAGATACATTTCCTACTAATTAGATATATATGTATATATACATACATACATATACTATATATATACATATACACCCGCGTGTCGCGGGCCCCGCAGCGGCAGGGCCCCTTTAAACGTCCGGCGTTTCAATCGTGAGTCTTCGATGTTACTTCAAAACGGAGGATTACGCATTACGTAGGATTTAACAATTCTGTCACGTACGTGTAGGGTATATATGGATCCGCGTATGTATAACGAGTATGTGCGTGCGTTGTGCGTGTTGCATGTGTGTGTGTGTATGCTTAGCGTGTGTGTGTGAATGCATGATTCCTTGCGTGCGCGAGGAAAAGGTACAAAGAGGCGCAGGAAAATTTTATTCTCTACAAACAGGTCCTCCTATGTATCGCAGCCTAACTGTACAGCAATAATTAATTTTTCGTTCGCCGGAAACAGGTCGGTGCATCCAAGCGAGGTATCATGGTGTGTGCGTGTGTGTATGTGTGCAAGAGAGAGAGAGAGAGAGAGAGAGAGAGAGAGAGAGAGAGAGAGAGAGAGAAGGGAGGATAGGTGGAAAGAGTAAATCGCCGCGAAACGATCAATCGCGCATTGGTGGCCCCGACCGCGCGTCGCCCGTGTTTGCTTGCAAGTATCTGTGTGTCTGTGTGCATGAATGCATGCGCGTGTGTGTGTGTGCACGCGCACGCGCGCGCGTGTCGCCGTGTCGAATGCGCGATGAATGATCACTTTGGCTCGTAGGGTCCAAAATTGAAGGAGAGAACGGAACCTAGATAAAAGCGAAACGAGCGCACGCGCGTATTCCGCGTTTTGCAGGGTGCACGAATTTATTTGCCATCCATCGCGGAAGCGGCGACCGACCACCTGCGTTTAATTGACTCGATCGCGGCCATGGTCGTGGAGCACCACCACGGACGGACCGTACCCTGTGCCCGACTGTGTAACAGCGTAAAGCCGCCGCGAGGCGCGCCGCGACGCGACGCGACACCCCCCCCCGTCGATGATCCACACCGGGTTGACTCCCCAGGCGACAGGGCGCAGGACAGATCCGCCAATTAGCGAGACAGAGATAACATTTCCGTAAAACGGAAATCCCGCGTATACATATACCTGCCAGCGGAACAGATATGCCCCACGTTCCCGCAAGCGCGATTCAGTCGGCGAAACGTAAACGGCCGGGAGCTTCTCGCGGAAACGATCACACGTGCGCGCGACGGGAAGGAACGCCGCGAGATAGAGGTGAGAACGAGGTATGACGCGCGCGCCTGCACCTGCACAGAAACGTCTCAATGTTTTCCCAGATTGTGCAGCTTCCAATTAGGATGCCCAGAGTGGCTTTCACCCACGCCAATTAGGAGTTTCATTCTTGTCCCAAACATGACTTCTCCGCTTAGAATCGAAGTAAAAATATGAAAACTCGGAAGTATTATGGAAACTTTGTCTTTAGTCGGTATAGTTTTATGGTTTCAAGCAGGGAAATTCATTTTTATATTAACTATTGTATGGAATGAACAGTCAGAACAAACAAAACTTGTTAATTCCTTCACTACCGATGACGAAAATTCTCGTCATTTAGCGTAGTGTGGGGATTAAAATGACAGGTGTTTCACGAAATAATGAAATTATACGGAAAATTATATTCAATATCTAATATAAAATGAAGAACAGGGAAAATTTTGGGTTTCCCACTTGGAATCGTGTGTTTAAAACATTACAATTTTAATCAGAACCTCTAATTGTTTTGGGAAATCGGACTGGATGCCAATTAATCTGCCCAAAAATTTTTTATGCGGGTAATCTGCGGGCTGACAACACCCCGCATAGAAATTTGCCAAGATTTTCCCAGATACAGCATAGATTGCGATTGCCCAAATTTGTCCCAAAATTGATCATTGATCTCAAAATAGCTTCTCTGTATAAAATCGAATCTTATGGTAATCGAAATCTTATGGTATCAAACTAGAAACCCTGGTTTTATACCAAAAACTATACTCAATATAGAGTAAAAAATCAAAACAGTAAAATATTTTTAAAACACTGAATGTTTTGCAGAATAATGAAATTATTCGAAAAAACAACAAATATTTCGTTGTCAAATCAACAACTCCAGTACAAAATGAAGACCAGAAGAAATATTGGGAGAACTTTGGGTATTCCACTCAGAACCGCGTGTTCACGCTTCCACCGAGAACACATAATTATTTTGGGGGAATCGGACTGTATCCCAATTAGATACTACGAAATGTTCTATACGGGAACACCTGCGCTCGCCATACCGTAGAACACCGGCAGAAACGGTATGTTCCTCATCTTATTCTATAGAGAGAGTTAACGGCGCCTCGTCTCACCTCGCATTTCCCAGCTTCTTGGTGAGCCGTCTGACTTTCTTCCACCAAAGAAATCCGACAGATAGTAGAAAAAGAAAGAAAAAGAGAGAGAGAGAGAGAGAGAGAGAGAGAGAGAGAAATTTCGGTATTTTCTTCTTTCAGAGTTTTCCTCTTTCGGCATTCCAGAAGTGGCGGTGACAGCGAGCGAGGCGCCGTTCACCCTCTTCCGATTTCGCGTTTCTCACCGAGAAAAGAAGAAGTCGAAACAGAGAGAGAGAGAGAGAGAGAGAGAGAGAGAGAGAGAGAGAGAGAGAGAGAGAGAGAGAGAGAGAGAGAGAGAGAGAGAGCGGGAGAGAAAGAGAGAGAGCATGAGCGAGTTTGATTAGCACCGAGATTACATAAGAAAAAACAAGAATTCACGACATTCTCGAACATGTACGGGATAGATAAATATTCCAACAAACAGGACGAAATCGTTTTTGCAGCAATTTATCGCAAATGTTCCCTTTATGGTGTTCGTTTGCTCTTATTTTGTATCGCTACCGTGTTCTCGCGGACGATGCCTCGCTGAAGCAGGCAGTTTATAAAAAAGACCCTTTACACGCCGTGCTGAAGAAATATGTACAAAAACATCCTTTGCAACAACCTTGTGAAGAGAGAAAGCGTTTATACAAAAAAAAGGAGGAAGAGGGGAAAAGAGAGAGAGACGAAGAGCGGGAGGGGCAAGTGACGATGTAGGGAATAACGTGCTGCACTATACAGGAGCAAAAATAAAAGAGACTTTTGGCTTGTATTTATTTGCACACTGAATTTTCCCGTCACACACAAGCCCGGCTGCTCCAATTATTCTAAAAAG